CCGCCGATCGCCTATATGTGAAACACCTGGTAACGGGTGTGTGCAATGGTCGTGTCTTTTCTGCTCGTGCGTGCCCGCAGCAGTGCTGTCCATCCGTTTTTTTACTACGGGCGGACGGCAAGAGGTTAAATATCAGGCAGTGGGATTTTTTTTATTTCTACACGTTCTAAAGCACATACAGTATTTACAGTGAGCAAGGATAAAATACAACAGAATGTGGATTTATTATTCTTTCTTTTTAAAAAAACCAACCAGATTGAAGACATTTTTGCTTTTTGAGAGAGTGTTATTTAGAGTCAATGTCAGAGATGTTTAAAAAATATTATAGACCACAACACTGTGCTATTATCACTCTTCTACTCAAATATCACTTCTAGCCATCATACTGACATAACTTACGGGTTTTGAGGTCGAGGCTGTTGGCCGACATTTCTGGTATTACACATCACATTACACAGTATATTTATGTTGCAAAAGTGGAGGTTATTTTCCCTGTTTCTGTCAAAACCAACAAGTCTAAAGTACATCTACTTTCTTCCTCAGAAAAAACTGTTTTTCCATTGCTGCACATGTGATTCCCACATGAGACTCAAGTGTCCAAGGCTAACTAAGTAAAGGGGCAAAAAGGGCATTCTTTCCTAGGTTCATAAAGAGAATCATTTTAATTTTTTGTGTTTTACATTTTTAATAACCAATTCCCCCATTCCTCCACATCTTTCCTCTGCATCTAATGTAGGAAGTTGTATACTTTTTTTTATTATTTAACCAGTAAAATGTGTCTGATATATTAAACTTTATTTCCAGTGTCTAAACAGATATGTTGACCATATAGGTGTTTCTAAAAAGCGTATATCGAAAAGAAAACTGAACCTTTGTTTAAAAAAAATCAATCTTCTAATGAGCCTAGCATACCTTTTAAATCGGCAATATAAACACTATACCATTTTTCCACAAACAAACATTTTGTCATGATCTGCCTAACTTAGCTCGGTTGTTAAAATCAACCAAAATGGTGGCTGCTTAAACTATCAATAACTGACCATTCAGGCTCCTGTGGAAGATTGAGTAAAGGAAAGTATCCTGTGCTCTACATGTCCCACCATTTAATGAGCCCCTTCTGTTCATTCCATCCACCTGTTAGCAGATTTGTGGACATGGTGGAGATGCTGAGGAGATTTAGCATAATTTACAAGCTCAATATTCTACCTTAGCAGTGCTGAATAAAATACACCTATCTCTGGCATTAGACACTCGGGTGTAGCTGAGCATACCCAGTAAGCAAGCAAGATTTTGCTAGCATTCAACTTTTTAACAATCGACGATCTAACAGATGGGTGGGATGAACAGAGGGGGAGCAGATTGATTGAATCTCAAATATTACAAAATCTTGCTTGCTTACTGGGCATGGTCAGTTTCACTTGAGTGTGTAATGCCAGAGATGGGTGTATGTTTCTTCCTTTCAGTGCTGCTGGGGTAGAATGATGAAGCATTTAGTGTACTAGAACACATTTGGTTAAGTGCATTAAGTGCCGTTCTAGGGAGGGAGGGGGCGTGTCGTGCCATTCATGTCAATGGCACCACAGATACGCTGCCTGCCCGCAGTGTGATCGCCTGCAGTGAAACATGAGGTACTGGAATGCCCTCCGCTCCAGTGCAGTGTGATCTGAAAAATAGTGCATGCACCATCTTTTCATAATGCACTGCACTGGAATGGAGGGCATCTCGCGTTCCAATGCGGGGAGCGTGTCTGCATTGACATGAATGGCACCGACACGACCCCTCCCTTCCCAGAACGCGGCCCGGCTTCATGTATGTGATCCACTGTGTTCCGAGTGCGAAATTTCTGAATAAATCCAGGAACAATATATTAGAGAGAAAGCTAAGCAAGGATTTCCATCCGTGTACACCATACTGTATATAAGGCAACATGAAACCATTTTCACTTTTTCTTGATTGGTGGTCTGCACAGCTAAAAAGGAACTCTAAACAATAAGCAGGCAGCATGCTACTTCTAATAACACAGTCAAGCTTTATTTTATCCAAAACCAATGAGCATGCACTGTAATTCTCAAAAGAAAGAATTTATCTTGACTTATCCGAGTTTTAATGGAAAAAAAGAGCTACTAGCTGCTACCGGTACTGAGTGTTTTGCTCAATCACCCTATTATAATAAAAATGCCCATGACCTATGAAGTGGTTTGTTTTATCACTCAGCAATTACCCAAGCCATATACAATCAACTGAAAAGTCACAGATAGTCAACATCTTCAGCTGTACATAACCAATTATTTTAGGTCACATTTCCTCTAGCCAATTGAAGTTTATTTTTCTTTCGAGATCTATGAGCGATGAGTCTGTCACACTTACTCCCTGACAAATAGGAGCTAGAAATGATGAAAATGCTGTAAGTAAACAATCTTCATAGGCCCTGATCATATGCTGCTCTGGAGTGGAAATCACTCCATCTCTCTGCAGGCAGAGCGAACAGCTCAATAAGCTAGATAAATGGCTAAGACTTGCCACTGTAACTCTATTAATGTGTCTCTGCTCCATACCTCAGCTTTAACTGAGGGAAATGGGTCTGAACCAGCACTTGTCCTTTAATGATATCTTCTAATAATACATGAGTGTTACAAGCACATGAGTTATTGCAGTGAGGACAAATTTGAGGATATTCTTTATATAGTTACACAACTCTTAATTTCCATGACATAATACGGAGTTCTAGAAAAGGCTACCAAATGTTTTTGGGTTAAAGAAAAAGGTTTGCGTTAACCCTTTCGTGAACAGTGACATACATAGTACGTATTTGGCAGCGGGCCTTTTTAAACCCACTGGGACTCAGTATACAATTGTAAAGCCCGGCTGTTGGCTTTACAACAGAAGTGATTCTGGCATCTCAGCTGCTGCCAGATCGCTTCTACGGGCCGGTAAAGTGCCCACTCCCCTGCCCGACACCCTCGCCGTGTTTCCCGGGCTCCGCTGCCCC